TAACAAAGTCAGAGCAATACAACAATGGAGTTTTTTGGGATGTGGGGGTTTTGGTTGGTTAATTGGTTTTTTAATTCATTTTTAGTTCACTGCAGAAAAGAAATTGGACCTATGAAAATATGTAATTTCCTCCTCTCTGTGTAGTCGTTCGCACCCCATCATGATCACCAAAGCACACATGACCAGTAAAGACTGTTTCCATCATGCACAAAAACATTAACATTACCTTAAATCTGTTTGTTTTATAGCAAAATGCTGAAAACTGAAGTAAAATTGTCTAAATCATGAACTGTTAACTTTAATAGTCATGTTCTTTGCTACCTATTGAATGCCTGCTAAATGGGGGCATTATTTCTACAGCTTTCCTCATCTACTCCTGCAGTAATCCTTCTGTTTAATGATCCTGATTTAAAAATCATTACAGTTAACAACTCCTGATATTTTACTTTCAGCATTTTGGCATTCAGAACTGCTTAAATGAAACAGTTCATTCTTCTAAGTGACAATAATAGTTCTCATTATACCAACCTGCAGGACTTCCATTCTGATACTTTTTAATATGTTATAGCCTACTATGCTATTATCATTATCATTGTATTAAAAATACACTTAATCTTTGCCAGAAAGCTCATCAAATACTGAATTTTTTTTGTTTGGAAATATAACTTTCTTGCTGGGAATTACTTTTCCTCTTCCCATGTTGGACATAGGTTACAGTCCAGCCTAAAGTCTAAGAGTGGGACTGGATCATGCTGTTGTTGCAAGTGTGTACAACAGAGTATTAGACCTGCCAATTGTTAGACTAATTCAAGGATACTGCAGTCCACACTGTCTTTCTGGAAGCTCTGGGCAACCTTTCTTTAAAGAATGCTGATAGCACAGTAACATTTAAAAGTCTCAGCCTAAGGGATTCCTAAGTTTTTAAGAAGTGATTCATTTTACTTTTTTTCATTACACATTGATACAAAAGGTGAGGGCCGTATTATTGATAAGAGATTGAAAGCTGTGAGCAAGACAGAAGGGGGAAGTAGATATTTCTGCTTATGTTTTCATTAAAGTATCAGCAACTTCTAGGAAAAGAATTGTCAAAATAATAGCAATATGGGAAAATATTCAAAACATTCATTCATATGAATGTTATAGAATAACAGAATGGTTTGGGTTGTAAGGCACCCTAAAGCCCATATCATTCCACTCTCCTGCCATGAGCAGGGGCACCTTCCACTATCCAGGTTGTTCCAGATATTCAGTCCCTCTGCTTTAATACAGAGTAGGAAACAGAAAGGAAGATATTAAAACTTCACAATTTCCAATCTATGTCTCAAGAATCAGACAGGATCCATAGAGAAAAATGTAGGAAACAGGATTTGGGATGTTTTGGCTTAAAAGATCAACAAGGTAATGGGAGGAAAATCAAGGCTAAACCTTTGGAAAAAAAAAAAAATCACGTAAACATAATCCTTTAACAAAGTTGTCAACGTTGTGAAAGGAACTATATTACAGTAATTGTGAAAATACGGGTTTCTGGCTGTTGAATTTTGTACTGTGTGTTTGTTTCTATTTATTTGTGGAAGCCTAGCTCAGTGAGAATTTCAATAGCTCATTTCTGAGGTAAATTAAAAACATAACATTCAAAAGAGCAATATTGCAGAAAGGGGTGATAATCAAAGAGCCTTCGGTAAATACAAGGGCAATGCACAACAAAATGTTGTCTGTTAAATAATCCCAGGACTATCTGACAAGAAAGCTCAGAGTTTTTAAAGCCCATCAAACTCAATAATCAAACAAAAATTCTATTATTAGAGAAAAAAATATATAAAATAGCAAGAAATTGAGTAAAGTGGTGTCCTTGACACCTGTCGAAGGATCTGCACTTCCCTGCTTTAATGATTTTATAGTGAAAAGGGGAGAGAAAAAAGTCTACAATTTGCTACCTAGCCAGTAGCAAGCATTCTCTTTTCTGGGTAATTTCACCATCTATTTGTCCATCCAGCAGTTCAGTTGAATTTGAGATGAGGGTAACTATGTCACAGGAAATAAATTACAGGGAATGTTGCGAAAACCTGGAGCTACACAGGTCCAAACAGACACAGTTTCATTTATTCTTTTCCACCTCTTGCTGATTAATAGTTGTGGAACAAAAATAACTGAGAGTCCTAAGGAACAGGACTCTTGTGTGATATAAAGGAAAAGAAAGAGCATCATGCAGAAGACGAAAATTGAAACAAGGGTGAAAGATGTAGGAAGAAAGAATTAGCAGCTTTGACTTTTTCTTTTAATTAGGAAGTAGTTGAATCAAACCTTGGTAAGACAACGTTCCAGCCATGGGAGTAGGACAAGTAATAGCAGAGACACAGAATGAGGATTTTCCCCCAGGAATTATGGAACTACCTTTTGTAAAACAGCACTGCCACCTAGTGACCAATCACGGGAACTGCAGGAAACGTTTGGGGCCAACACTGCCCCCTGCCGACAAAAGGGAGAACTGCAAGACAAAACCCCTGTGGGACCCAGCGCCACCCAGCGAGCAAACCGACAACTGCAATGGAAAAATCAATGCAAATCTCCCACCTTGTGGACAACCAGAGAACTACACCAAAAATGACAAATCAGGAATTAATGAGACTTTCTAAACAAAGTAATTAACCAATTAACCAATTCACTAAGAATTGATTTAGGAAATAAATTAATTATTAAATTAGGAAACTAACTAATTAACCAATTAACCAATTTAACAATTACATAATTAGGTAGTTAAACAATTAACTTATAACCAAGTTACCTAAGTAATCAATTCACTACTTAATCAATTAAACAATTAACTAATT